TTCACACATGTAGGAGTTGAACTCCGTCTCCGCCTACTTTATTGTATAAAAATTAAAAGCTTGTTTCGCATCCCCTGGACTACCACCTGGTACCCCTTGAGGGTGCAGGCATCCCCGATTGAGAAACCCTGCAATAGATCAACAAAAAGAGTATGCCACGATTCTATTTAATCACATATGTGAAAGTATCTCTCGAAAGAATAGGGAATGCGATACTGTTTCGAGCACTAAATGTGTTTTCAATATGATTTTGGCCCATTTTTGTTCATGTGCTGAGTCTCACATTGAGCGTACAGCGATTGCAGCGACGATGAGTGCTTTTTGATCGAATGCGGCTTTAATCCTGTGGAAGAGATGATCCTCAGAATCGCTCTTGTCGTTACCAACTAATCTAGCAACGTTTAACGTTTCTGCTACACCACCAGACACGTCTTGCAATGCATCGGCCAATTGACCCCCAACAAGATTCTCGTAACAACCGTAAAGCCTGTAACTTATTGACTAGTTAACACATGAAAACGTGTGCCTTACTGTTCACTATTTCAACCTTATGCGAACGACTCATTTGGGNACGTAATCATATCGATTTCATTAATTACTGCACAACGCTGAATACGTAATGCCATATATTAATCGTTTTATCAGGTCAACTGAAACATGTTTGCATAAAATCTGCGCGATCAACAGTTGTTGTTTATCGTCTTATCTGATTCCGTCTATAATAATACAAAACGCATTCGAGATAAGTCACTAAATTGCTAATGACTGCAATGGTAACCTATAATATACTTCATGTTCGATTTTGCACTACTCGAAATGATGTTTTAATCATTAACCGAGAAGAATCGTACTTACTTAGCGAAAGCTTTTTCCAAGAGTGCACTCCAAAATTCGTTGGGTGTCTTTGAACGTGCAAACAGAAGCTTTCCATCACGTGTCGGCAATAAATCATCAACAACAACTTCAATCCATTCATCAAAACGCCAGAAACAAAACCGAAATATACCGCAATATGCGTTTGTTGGTGACCATTCCTGCTCCTTTGCGTCTGGTATTACCTGTGTTTTAGCATCAATCATCACACATATCTATATGTTATCATTCGCTTCAATTTGTCATTTAGATGAATGTGTTTTGTCTATTTGACACCGCAGAAAACAATGCACAAAAGGCTTAACACATCTCACATATTGCATCCATAGTGGCAGACGAATGATTGAGTTGTGTATCGCAATCGAACCAGAAATGATTATCGTTATATGTAATACTCAAAATGGTATGCAAACTCATTAATATTTTATGCTCACTGCACAAATAATGGATAATGTAATTCGTAGGTACCTACCTATCTGTTGCATACCAAAAAACAACAACATAATGACNTTTTTTGGTATGCAACAGAATAGCAACGATCAAGCACGCTAAAAGAATGTGGCCACTCATATCAATCAGGCAAGGATTTGAACTTTAATCATTCAGGTGAATTTGAGTTGTATAATGGGAATTAATTAGTGATTAGTCTCTCTACGACACTGACGTACATATATCTAAATCAGTTAAGTATGAGAAATTAACTTGAATCGATGGTTTGTTTACTGACATGAAAGATAAGCAAACAACTGTGAGGAAAATAGCGAGAATACTCAAGATGCAAACAGAATGAAACTGAAGAGAGACGCCGATGTGCTTTGAGAATAAATTGCGAATACTATTAGCTGCATAAGAATTGAATCATTCAGAATCGAATGAGTAAAATTGACTTCGAAAATGTAACTATTCCCAAAAAATTGTTTTGACATTGAAATATAATGAGTTGAAGCATTGTTGGTGAGGAAACGCATTTTGTATTTTTATACGACCAAGGACGAAATCATTTTAGATGTGCTCTCAACTGAAGAAATTACAGTCGCACGTAGTGCTGATGCAATACGAATGTTATTATTAACGTCCATCAGGCAAATCAATAATTTACATACCTTATTAAGCAATGCTTCGTTGTGGGTAAGCGCTGAGCATGCGGAAACAAACCAACAGTTTCCCAGGATTCCTTGAGTAACATCATTCGGCGTTGCGCCTTCCACAAATAATTTCGGATCATCAGCTAATTCCTGAATTATGCCATTGTTCATTACTGATCAGCGGAATTTTTTAGAATTGCTAAGTTTTCGTCGAAATGCTTCATTTGACATTAACTGTTGGAACTCTTACAAGGAAAGGTCACGAACTTAATGTGATGTTTCGTGATGAGATATACATCTAATTGTACATCTATATACACTGTTAGCATATAGATATAGATCTATCAGCACATACATAGATAAACCTACATCATATGCATCAAACATATTGTTGGTACAGAAAACATTCATATTCGACATTTCACAATCGAGTGCAAGATCAATTGTAGGATTGAACTCGTTGTGACATTTCTTGAGATGACGACTCACTACGCGTTTGGAGTCGAATTCT